AGTACGTTTTCAACAAATCACAACGTTTTGGTGTACACTTTTAAAAATATTACCCAAACTGCATTAGATTCTGAAACGGCGAATTAGGATCTATGAAAACTCAATGATATCAGTATCCCTATTCTCAACATCCATTAGTTCAGTAATGACATTCAAACTTCTCCCGTCAATGCTGTCGGCATGTCACAGTTAATTCTCATCATGGCAATTCACATAACAGAGCCATATGCTTGTCCCCAAGATAACTCCAGAAGGGTTATGAATAATAAAAAATGAAATTAGTGAAAAAGCCTATTGGCAATTTCATATTAGGTTGATCTTTGTAGAGTCTAAATGTGTATCTTGTCTAATATATCAACATGTCCACTTTATTCAGTTTTGTAATGTAACTTGTCTTTGACATTAACATGCATTACAAGATGTGACTTGAAATCTTGAATGTTAATGTCTGCATAGCAGATGATCATCATGACGCCGCACATGGTCGCACTACATGTAAATCAGTGAATTCGGTTGGCGAGATTTGCATTGATAGTTGTAGACGTTCACCCTGTCGACGTGTCCATTTTCGCTATATTTTGAGTTCATTTAAGTTATACGTAGGTTTTTCATTTGTTTAATATAAATGAATTCACGAGAACTGCGTTCTGGATGAAGGTAAATCTAGATAACCAGATTAGACGCATGAAATTTATAAAGCATTGATTTTTTTTACTAGCAATTGGTAGATACTTGAGGGTATCATCAACTCAGTAGATTAAATTTATGCAACAGGTGAATTATAACCACATATATTTGATGGATTTTTGAGTGTTTAAAATATTGCGTGACATAGTCACTGATTAAAATGAACTCTTGAAGAGCGACAGTACCGTTCGTTATTGTAGTAGGTTCCTCAATTACGCTTGTTCATATACCAAATTCAGACTAGATGGCACTAAAATAGGGTATTATTTTCTAATGCGTTTAGGTATAATCGCTCAAAACGGTTCATGTAATGAAAAGGTGAAATACCAATCACAAATCTAGATATAAAAGGTTAAAAATCACTCTCCAGTTTCAATAGAAAATGTTACTTTAATTACATGAGGCAAAAAACACATTAATTATTACGGTGTATGAAAACTACAAGTCACTTGGTATTTAATGCATCAAATCCACTTCATAAAAGATGGGAGCTATAGGTCAATAACGATTTCCAATACTGTGAGAATCAAAGATTATGTTCTTTTACTTTTTTAAATGTAGTAATATTTCGCTTGATTTAAAAGTATTGCATTATTAAATTTATCTCGCATAAGGTCCCCTTATTGAAGCGATAAATTAACAAAACTTCAGATTATTTTTTTTGAAAATTTAACTCGTTAACAACGTTTTATTTCTTCAGTCTAGTAAACATACGAAAGTATTGTTTCTGGCTTAAACCTTTTTTTAATATGGAAATTGTACAGTAAAACCTCAATTGGCAACAACACATTTACTATCTAATGAATTAGTTGTTTGAAGGAAATATAGTATCATTTTTTTTCAGGGAAAATATTTACCTTACACAGGTTGTTACATTATGCTACGTTTGAAGCACATTTTATAAATACTTGGTATTGTCCGGGATGTTTCTACAAAAGAAAAACCTATTGTTCTATAAGGAAATAAATTCCTACTGGTATATAAGAGGAAATAAAAGTTTCAAATAAAACAAATATTCAAAATAGATTGATTTATTACATTCATTAAGCTGCGGGACAACATATACATGGATTCATTCTAATATGATTACTTTTCTTAATCCTTATCAAATGATAGGTTTTTTTTTGTCTGAATACATATAATCCACATTATATAAGTATTCAATTCAAATTACAGAAATTCAAAGGAAAAAAAGTTTATAAAAAGTAAAATAACAAAAATACCAAGGAAATTTCTAAACGTAAAGTCCCTTATCAAATGGTAAAATCAAAAGCTAAAACACATCAAACGAATGGAAAACAACTGTCATATTCCTGACTTGGTACAGGCATTTTCTTACGCAGAAAATGGTGGATCAAACCTGGTTTTAAAGCTAGCTAATCCTCTAACTTGTAAAACAGTTGCATTAAATTCCAATTAATGAACAATAACTTGTGGGCAAAACAAACAGATATAAAAGTTTAAAATGTCAACACTTGGGTACAGCAGTTTACCTTGTGTTACAATCTTAATCACTATAAAAGCAAACAACTTTGTCAACACTGAAGATTGAAATTGCACATAAACACTTTATAGACAAGGCACATCAGCAAAAAATGAAAGACAAGAATACAAAAAATTACCATAGCACAATAACACAATTGTTGGGATGTATAAATACCGAGCCACGCCAAAAGGATATTACCAAAAAGTGACTAAACAGTCAAGTTTAAAGATAAACAAAGACAAATAAAAAGAACACAATAAGACGTAATTAAGATGATAAATAACATCAGTACCTACAATCTATATTTCAAGACCATCATGTATTTTTTGTGAAGTTGATACGGAATATTTATCAACAAGGTCTTGGTATCTTCCGATGAACTTTTTTAGAAAAACGACGAGACATTCTTTGACAAAACCCTGGTTCATCACCTTCTGCTCAGACACTGGTGACGTCTTATAAAGTCTGAGTAGTAACTGCAAGCTCTTGAATACAGAATGAGTTGTGGAATGTATACCTCATATGCAGGTAAAGTTGATTTATTGCTGCTAAGGTGGATGAAATTGATAATTTCAAAATTAAAATCGTCTCGTTTTCATAGATTCTAATACTGAGATGACTGCGTATTTTAAATTCTAGGAATGAGTCTAAAAATGAGGCGAAGGAAGCCGTGTCTGTTGTTTCTTTAATTTCTAGTTATGGAGGATATGGATATATCAATGGAACCCAATCAGAACAGTTTGGATTGTTAATGGAAAGAACATCATCAATATATCTGAATGTGAAATTATATGATCAGGCTTCTTTGGTCTTATTGCTTTTGTCAAGTATCTGACGGAACGAACTCCGACTCATATGAAAATAAGAAAATGTCGACAAGTAGAGGCGTACAGTTCGTTCCAAAAAGAATGCCGACAGCTTGTTGAAAAAGTCTACCTCCAAATTCAACAAATATGTTGTCAATAAGAAACTCCAGCATACTAATAACTTGTTCTTGAATGATATTGGAGGTTTGGTGAGACCATGGTTTGTCTGAAAGAAGCTTGTCTGTTTTAGCGTCACCTTGGCGGGTTGCTGATTCAAGATCAGAAATATCCCGGAGATCGTTGGTACTGTGCTTAGCACTGTTAGAAGTCTGTTTGACACAGATTCCACCGTTTACGGCCGATTAGGCACTTTTTAATTGATATATTTTAGAGTGGCCAACTTATTGATAAAGATTTTTTTTCTGTTAATCAGAAAACACTTCATAACTATTTCTATTGAAAATGAAACCGACAAGTGCTTGTTTCCTTGGTTGATTTGCCAATGACATAATATCTCAGATTGCCTTGAATACCTATGTCAATTTTAAGTCTGATCTTACAGTTATCACGAATGTGGTCAGTATCGACAGGATACATTATGTAATCACCACTAATGAAATGAGACATGCAAGACACGCAGCTTATCCTTTGAAAGCACTGTTTTGTCATCTGAAAGTAAAATAATAATTGCATGATTGTTGGTGTTAAACGCCACTTCCAGCAATATTGGCTATTTCCACAGCGGGCAGTTTTTATTGTTGAAGAAAACCGGACTGCCCGGAGATAACAACCAACCTTCGGCAGGAAAACTGGCAATCCTGATCAATACAGATACGAGTCGAACGCACCGATTATGGGATTCGAACTCACAACATCTATGTTGAGATATTTTCTGGGTTCACCTTTATCAGGAACGTGAAATGAGATGTCATAAACGGTATAAGAAAACATGATCCTGTGCAATGCTAAAATGCAATCATCGAAAATATGTAGGATCGTATGCGTTCATAGGAAAAAATATTTAGTTATGTTTTAATTCATAAATAACAAAATCAATGTAAGTATCGATAAAAAAAACTTTAATACCAAATATTTGTATCTATGAAAGAATTTAATAAAGGTTTTAAGCAATTTGTTGTAAAGTAACCCTTAACTTAAAAAAATATCAGTGATACATATATTACATTCCTAAGGTCTACAACGTCACCACAGACATGGGGATAGCGAACGATATATGGAATATATAAACAAGTTCATTGTCAAATTATGTGACATTGTAGTAAAAGAATTTAACATTAATGTCCATTCTGTTAAGGTCTTATAGGTTTGGATGCTTCCCTAAGAGATGGCATAGTTATACTCGAGCATACATGGTGCAGGTTACTTCTTTACACGTATGACACACATCCAAATTACATTACGTTTTCATACGTCTAATTTCCCTATCACGAAATTTTAATTCATATACTAGTAGTATTTCTTCGTCCTGTTTATTTCTTTATGCCTGTCTTCTGTTTTCATAACATTGACCTTTATCTCACATTAGCAACTATTCATTTTGTAAATTGTTTTACTGTTTTAATAGCAAGGTCGAAATTATCAAAAAATAGTTTTCAATTTGTTTCATTTGTTGAAATAGTCTACCGTTTGATTTTGTCAGGGTTTTTGCATGGACCTCCCCCTTTAATGATTTTACCTTTTTGTTTTTGTTAATAATTTTGTGCCATTGGAGGTGAAAAAACTACAGTATTCTTTTCTTCTTTTTTTTTCTTATTTCACCTACGCAAAAAAAAACCAGTCATATCTCTTCACGAAATTGAATCTTTGTTCTCTTAAACATTATCTGAAAATAAAGATGTTTTGTTTCACGATTCAGTGAATAATCAAATAGGAACTAATTAAGAAGATGATTGACAGTAGACGAATCATAAATCTGTCAAATAAGATGTAAAGGCTAAATCGTGCTTGTTAATTAATATAACTGAATCATTATAGTTTTATTTGAAGATATTAATTTTAACACCTAATTCGGCACTGTTTGTATTTGAAGGAATTAAATCTCTTTGTTGTCTTTTCGGTTCTGGATTGTTACATAAGTTTGATACTGTTTAACTAGACAAGAAAAGAAATGTATTAACAGCATGTATGCGTTAATTAAAATGTACTAATTATAATTGATTTGTCATTGCCACAATTACTCGTGTGACTTTCAATTAGAGGTTTATACCATGTTTGCAGTGGAGAAGTAAATGTGAAATTAACATTTCAAAGGGAATTTATAAATTATGTTTCACAAGAGTAAATGAAACCTATATTGGTTAAAAATGTTGGACAAAATCAAGATTCTAATTGGTTTGAAGTTTTCGTGGTTTGTCATAGTAATTATAATTGTGCCGACGATCGGTTTTAACCAACATTATAAATCCAGCGCCAAGCCAATTAAGATTTCAACAAAAGATGGTGTTTTATTTTGTGGCAGCTCAAGGGTAAGTTATCAGATTGAAAAATATACACTGTACACTGATATAATACACAATTTGAAAAGTGTCAAAAGTAAATACTTGGATATTAGAAACTTTGTATTGCCATTCGGGTGCTTTCTTCATAGACGTATACACAACAATTGATTTTACTAATGTCACGGCTATGTTTCTTATGTATATCTTACAAATTTTCTGAAAAAAAAGAAAAGTAAAAAGAAAATAAACCGAAGTCCAAAGAAAATTCAAAACGTAAAGTTCCATATCGACTCAAAATCAAAAGGTCAAACACATCAAACGAACGGAAAAAAACTGACTGACTCGGTACAAGCATTTCCTTATGTAGAAAATGGTGGATTAAACCAGGTTTCATAGCTAGCTTATCCTCTCATTTTTGGTATGACATTCGAATAAAAGGCCATTATATTGACAACAATGTGTGAAAAAGACAAGCAGTAAAATGTAAACGAATTTAACGTTGGAATAATGCAAAGTTGTCCATCAAACGGTTTTGTGTTAGGAACGATTCACTCATTATTGTACGTTTTTGTATTTGATTATTTTATCATTTACATATACAGTGTGTGCACTAGTTAAAATTATACTTTGTTCATTCAATGTTGCAGCTGATGATATTTTAACATTTTAGGTAGTATAGGGATCTTGCGCCATCTCAGATCGTTCCAAAGTGAAAAAAAATATTATTTGATAAAAAACAAACATTACACTCAGCCTAATTATGGAAGATTTTCAATTTACAAGGGGATTGCACAGTATATAAAAATGTATTTCTTTTTGTTTTGTTTTGAATCATAGCATTAGAAGGTACATTGAAAACCATATCTTATTTCTCATAAATTTCATTCTATATCTGTGTATGTGATATGGTCAAACATTAAATATAACCTCTAAATTGTACTTGCTTTTGGAATAAAATCTTTTACACAAAGCATTTTCAGAGCTGTAATTTCACGTTTTATTATAAAATACAGCTATTTAGTTTTCTTTCTATGTACAGCACAACAATGTTTTTTCTCTCGGAGGTTCTAACAAAATGTTACAATTTTTCGAATGTTGCTTTAACACATGCGCGGTGACCAAAAGGTTTTAGTTTGTATTTTTGAAAATAGCAGAATATAAACTATTTTTTTAATAAAAAAGTTCTTTTATTTTTGCTGGAATATCCATACCATGTTAATGTACTAAAGAATGAAATTTTAACACGACAGTTAGATAGTTATTTTCATCTATTTGGGTATCAAAAAGATTGAGATGATAAAAGGGACAATAGAAAAACGTGTCAAACAAACACATGCAGACAATGCCTTAGTCAAAATGAAAAACAACGAAAAAAAAAAAATTAAAAAACTTCATGCGTCTGACGCGCTCATCTCGATTTACCTTCAACTGTTTAAAAGTCAAGCAAATAGCTGAGAAACTAGGGAAAATAAAAAAAAAACTGTACTAATATGTAACTTTAATTGATAATTAATTACAAAGGACATGCAAATGACTGACATTATGACAGAGGGTCCACTATTCATTATTCTTTAGTTTTGATACCTTTTTTTCTATTTCTTATCTATTTTCCCCATTATTGTCTATTCTTTATATTTTAGCACCTCATTATTCACTAATTTCGTTTGTTTTGCCTTATTTCTCTCCCATCTTTGATTTATTTCCTTTTTTCTACACTATTTGTGTGTTTTGTTTTTCTTATTTGAAAACCCCATCAACACCCTCATTGTTATGTGTGCAAAATAATTTTATATTATTACAAACAAATAAAATTGACAGTGTGGTAGTTGTCGGTTGTCACGTGGGGTCGTTGGAGTCAACCGATTGTAACACAAAACCGTCATACAGAACCACAATCCGTGATACAATAAATCACAGTGTAAATTTGACATCTCATTTGTAAAATATAGTCAGGGAAGTTCAAAGAGGTTTTTGTAATTGATATTAAAGTATTCGAGTCATATCTAATTAATGACCTCAGATATTTTTTTCGATTTAGGGGGCGCTTGTAGAAATTGATTGATTGATCGATTGTTGTTTGCCTGTCAGACTTAATAGGATACATATTCTAAGTTTTAATAAATTTCATTGTATACATATTTAATTATATATATACGTCTATAATGAATTCTATAGTTTATTTTATAAAACCATGTTAAACAGATAAGTGCATGATACATTTATTTTGTCAATTATTGCCGGATTACCTCAACATGATTTTGTCCATTAAAAGTAATAACAATCTGTATATGGTGAACTAGTACACAAACATAAGATATACACAAAAACAGGAACGATGGGGCAAAAGTATTCTCTCTATTTATTTCATTATAAATTTAATGACACTTCGATTCAACATCTTCAATTATCTAAACTACTGTTCAGTTATATTACATATTTTCATGAATATGGACTATTACTGGTCCAAGGACACAGTTATCGTCCTTTGGTTTTCGTTGTCTACGAATATAGTCCCTAGTGTGAACAGTGTATAACTTGCATTTTTTTTTTTTGATACACTTTCCCAATTTATTTCTTGATATTTTGAAATATTAAGTAAGGGGATGAAATTACATGTTAAAAAAAATTGGGTGCTGAATTTTTATGTTAAGTAGTGATTTGGTCCAGTTAGTATTTATGTCCCTGGTTAAACGGCCTGTTTGATGTATATGAAATGTGAAGAGCTTTGTACATAAAATCTGTAGTCCATCACAAATATTTCACTAAATCTGTAAAAAAAAAAACACTTTACAATGATCATTACACCCTATTCATTTCATATGCTACCATAATTTTCTTCTTTAGGATAGAAAGTGGTTCAAATATATGCCAATTGAGACTAAAACTACATGCAAGTTTTCCATTGAAAAGTGAAAAACTGGTCATCAGACCATACTGTCTGCAAAAAAAAGTTGAATTCAAGAGTCCTTTAGCAATTAGACTTCTTGTATCATAACATCTTAGCAAAGAAATGAGCAAAAAGTAACAAATTTCCATTTCTTATAGCCTCTGTGTGCATTTTTATATGTAAATATGGCCTACGGCCTAAATCGACTCTAAATAATTCTCAGTCTTATATATAGCCTAAGACAATTTTATACTCATGTGGTATGCTTTCTGTAACTTTTCTTTACATTTAAAGTACATTTAATATATATGGAAGAATAATGTATGGTTAAAAAACTTCAAAAACTTCAAATTGGTTGAAAAAAATGCATGTTTATGTAAGGCTTCCCTTAATTCGAAAATCTCTATTTTCAGGTACAGGCTCATATAAATTTGACTTTTGAATAACTGTGATAAATCTGATAAATCAAATGAGTGTTCCGTTGCTTTTAATACTTATTATATTATATTCAAGAGTATTTAAAAAGCAAATTTTTGCAATATTTAAATTTTTTAGGCCAAAATCTTGACAGTTGAAAATATTTGATTTAAACGTCAAACATAAACATCCAAATTTCAATATTAAAATGGCCCTAGTTTCTATATTATATATCCCATGGCCATGCAACTTGGCCAACTATCTTATAATTTCCTAAGCTTAGGTCATGCAAAGTTTTATTAAAATTAGTCAAGTCTTTCTATCCTATTAGGTCCAAGGACAGTTATCGTCTTTTGGTTTTCGTCTTTTGGTTTTCGTTGTCTACGAATATAGTCCCTAGTGTGAACAGTGTATTACTTGCATTTTTTTTTATACACTTTCCCAATTTATTTCTTGATATTTTATGCATGAAATATTAAGTAAGGGGATGAAATTACATGTTAAAAAAATTGGGTGCTGAATCTTTATGTTAAGTAGTGATTTGGTCCAGTTAAAAAAGGTCAAAAATTAGAATGTCTGAAGCTGTCAAACTGAATTTTAGCCCCCTTAACACAGAATTGTCAATTTTTTGAGTTAGAGCTGGTAGAAGTTTCTATAATTTTGATATTATTTGTATCAACAGTAGTACACTACACTGTAAAAATCTTTTTGAGATAGAGCAGGTGCGATTTTTTTAATTTGAATTTATTGTCTAAAAGAAATGCACTACGAAATAACTGTGTTCTCGGGCCTACTTACCGAATCATTGGACATTATTTCTTTAATGCAGTTATCACATTTCTAAAGAAGAGTTTCACACGTGTATTTCAGTTAATTATCATTCTTTCATTCTCTCTAATCATTTTACTCCACATTTTATTTGACTGAGGCCAAATAAAAATATATGTGTGGTTCCAGTTACCCTACCCTACCCTACCCTACATTTTAGTCTTAATAATAGCCTACCATAATTTTTCTCATTTTTTATTAAGCACTGCTAAAGTACCCATAGACTCAATATGAAAAAAAACATAAAATAAAAAAAAATCGCTACGACCTTACCCTAACTTTGTTTTAGATGTAATTGGAACCACACATACTATTTTAATTGGCCTGATACCTATCGTATTTATATAGAAAATAAGGAATATTCTCGTTTATAAAATTCAACTGTATAACTGAATCGATTTACAATTATCTCCGCCTTATTCTATTAATTCAATTTGCTCCAAAAACGTAATATGCAGTGTACACAAATTCTTTAATCCCGAAATGATTGTTTTTTTTTTTTTTTTTTATTTGTTTTTTTTTTTTTTTTTTTTTATTTGGTGCGTCCGATGCGCTTATTGGCATTTCTATTATCAGGGATTCTAATGTAAGAAAAATAGTTTACTGATGTTTGAATCTCATAAATCGATACAGAGCCAAATCATGGAAACTAACAACAGCTGATGTCATATTCTACAAACTATTTCGAATTACTGGCATTTATATATTAAACAACCTGTTTCACAAAACTGATCATTTTTGTTTGTTTAACTATAAATATTTCATGTCAACATGACATTTAATAATTTTAATAACTGTACGTTGTCAAATATTTGTATGTATCATTTTGGCGTTTATGATATTTTGAGTCATAAATGTATCAATCTATTTTTCAATATTTTGTGAAAAGATTTCGTATAATGAATTTATAAATACAAAATAATTTTTATTGTTTGTATTAGTAATGCTTTCGTGTCCTTTATTTGCACGATTTTGAATAAAATTTATGTGAACATAAAAAAAAACTACATCGATAAATAAAATAAATGAATTTAAACAAAAGTTATGATTCAAATGTAAATTGGTGAAAACGAATGTATATGACTACTAAACGGTCGATCACATCAGCAGTTGCATAGCAACAAAAGACGGATTCATGCAAAGGTCCATGTTTCCACGATGATAAAAATATAATTTCCTATTTGAATGAATATCACAGTAAAATTTTCGGGAAATTTGATTACTTATCTATTCATGTCAAATTAGTTCATTTAAATGGTCACTCGATAGTTATAGTGTACTAAATGTGTCAAAAAGAGGTGACAGATACCAGAGGGACATTCAAGCTAAAGTCGAAACTTAAACTGACAACGCCCTGGCTAAAAAAGAGAGAGACCAACAGACAAACAATAATACACAAAACATAACATAGAAAAGTACGAATTGAGCATAGCTCACCCTACAAACACCTGGGAGTATTTGAGGTTATCCGGAAATGATAGGCAGGTCCCGTTCCACATGTGGCATCCTCTTGCTTGCGATCGCAATTCTTCAATTAAAAAGATACAGAATAATCAGCTGTCGAAGTGAGATATCATCTGTTAGAAGATGAAGTGACCCTTTCACAAGATTTTACGGACGTCATTATTGCATTAATTAGTTGGAGTGTACAGAGTGTTCTTGTCACAAATAACCAAATGGTCAATAAGTTGAAGCTACAATCCAACCCTCCATCCATACGCGTTTTACAGATTTTTTTAACTTAAGCGACACAAGAGTTGATCAAGACTATTCCTTGGGGTCTTCTCCGGGATTTGGTACGGGTAAAACTGTTGATTTATGTATTGTGAAGAGTGGACAGATATTTTTGTTGTCTTTCTTTAATTTTGCAAAGGTTTTATGTTTCCTTCAATGGCCTGGCATTTTAGTTGTTCAAAAGTTATATTCTTATTTTGTTATACAATTTCATATACTGGATTAAAATAAATTTGACAGGTAGCTTTGTAAATGATGACCAACTGTCATATGACTTGGATGTTTAGGTAGCTATAATATTACTAGTAGGTTAAACCAAGCATTCTCTTCTCCGTTCGTTCCGTTTGGTGATATGGTTGAGTTTTTTAATTTGTCAGGTCTTTATAGACTGGCCCATTTTTAAAATAACCTTCAGTATTTTGGTTACAAAAAGCATATTTCTATATCAAAGATGAACATGATACTTTGATTATAAGTACCATATTTTTTCATATTTCTGCTGGAACCGAATGCGTTGCATGTCTATTGGTTTTATAGTGCATTGTGGGTAAGGAGCAAGTAATCCGAATGCCATAAGTATATATGACATAGGTACATCTTTTTATAACTCCCAAAACAATAGTAACAATAAAAAATTAATAATGAGATAATAAGGTTTGCTAAAATAGGGAACAAATTGATGGTATCCCACTTTTCACTAAAACAAGACAACATTCAAACCTGAATATAAACGTCACCTTCTAGGTAAAAGAAATCTTTATGAAAGAATTATTATTTGAATTGGTGTTCCAAATGGATAAGTTTTACTACAGCAGAATAAAAAAATGTCATGTACAGACAGGGTCCTGTTTCTTAAGTAACATTTAACCTTTATAACATGTTTGACTGCATATTATTCTATTATTAGTGCCGTTCATATCAGTTTTAACTGTATTCTATTTAATTGTTGGCGACCTTTATAGCATGTTTGACTGCATATTATTCTATTTTTAGTTTTGACTGAATTCGATTCAATTATTAGTTCCGTTCATATCATGATTTAATGTATTCCTTTGATTTATTGTTGACCTCTATAGCATGTTTGACTGTATATTATTCTGTTATTAGTGACGGTCATAACATGTTTGACAGTACTTTATTCAATTATTGATGACCTTTATAGCACGTTTGACTGCATATTATTCTATCATTAGTGGAGGTCATATCATGTTTTACTGTATTCTATTCAATTATTGTTGACCTTTATAGCAGATTTAGCTGAATACTATTATAGTATTTGTAACCTTAACAGCAATTTTGGGTAATACAAAGGCGACTTAGGCATCTCATTCTCTTCAAATTGCTGTCATGTCTCTTATGTTCTTGTGATGTTCATTTTACAAATTGTAATCGTAAAACAACAAAAATACCGAACTCCAACAAAAATTCAAAACGGAAAGTCCCATCAAATGGCTAAACTAAATGCTCAAACACATCACACGAATGAAAAACAACTGTCATATTCCTAACGTGGTACAGGTATTTCATTATGTAGAAAATGATTGATAAAAACCTTGCTTTATAGATATAAAAAAAGTAAAATCACAAAAAAACTGAACTCCGTGGGAAAATTCAAAACGGAAAGTCCCTTATCAAATGGCAAAATCAAAAGCTCAAACACATCAAACGAATGGACAACAACTGTCATTCATATGTTAAAAAAATGACGGGATGTATAAGTACAAACGAATGGACAACAACTGTCATATTCCTGACTTGGTACAGGCATTTTCTTAAGTAGAAAATAGTGGATTAAACCTGGTTTTAAAGCTAGCTAAACCTCTCACTTGAATGATAGTCGCATAAAATTCCATTGTATTGACAACGATGTGTGAAAAAAACAAACAGACATAATAGGTAAAAATGTCAAAAAGAGGGGTACTGCAGTCAACATTGTGTTATTATCTTAATCACTATAAAAACAAACAAATATGTAAACAATCATTGGCACAATAACACAGTGACGGGATGTATAAGTACAGAGCCACGTCCTATGTATCAAAGAAACACAAAAAGGCTTATAGACAAAGCATATTAGCAAAAATGAAATTAACAATACAAACATTATCATAAAACAATAACACAATGACGGGATGTATAGGTACAGAGCCACGTCATATGTAAAAAAGGAACCAAAAAAAGGCATATAGACAAAGCTTTGGCTTACAACTATCAGCAAGCTATAAAGGGACCAAAAAATGACTAGTGTAAAACCATTTAAACAGGAAGGCAACAGTATAATCTATATAAAAAAGTAAAACCAGACACACTTATGAACCACATCGACAAACGACAACCACCAAACATCAGGTTTTTGACTAGGGACAGGTGCAAACAAATGCAGCAGGTTTAAACGATTTGATAGTCGTCAATCTTTATCTTTACCTAAAACAATAGAGTAACATGACTAACATCATAACATAGAACTACACACTAAAAAATATCAATTGGAAGGGTCAACATTGTGTTATAATCTTAATCACTATGAAAACAAACAAAATACACAGTCTGCAATGTTTTCATTAATATCATAATGTTTTATTCAGAATGTAATCAAACATTTGTTTGCAGATCCATGGTAATGCCAGCCTTCACGGAAGATGTAGTCCATGTGGGGCCATTAATTCGGATGAAACTTCGCTGTTATCCAAGTCTAAATATGACGTAAACGGCGAAATAGCTCATATTAACTTTTCGATACATTCTTCCATTAATGGGCAGCTTTATTTCCGATTTTGTGAGATTTCCAATTTAAAGCACTGCTTAAAAAATGACAAGGTCTATATAAAGGAGAGCTCAGAAAGAATGTACAACTTCAGTGCCGGAAATCAGACAGTTTCATTACATCTTCACATCCCTAAACAATTCAACAATGGACAATATCTACTGCAATCTAATGTTATACTGAGTAAGTAAAAATAGTTCTCTAGTTTTTTGTGCTATTTTCACATTTCTTGGTCGGTATGAGAAAAATGTTTCTCCCCATTAGTGAAATATCTGTTCACGGCAAATAACAGGTCAAAATTGAATCATGACGTCAAGCTTTCTTGTTTTTTTCAGAATTTTCTTATTATGACGTCATGAAAAAAGGCGACTATGCCTGATGATTGCTACAAGATCAAATACATTAAATGATACGATACAAAAATGTATCTTCTTTCATGTTGTGCGTTGCAACCTTTTGGCTTATCTGATTAATAACTGATTAAACAATACGCATTCAACAGGATGACGAACGCACAATCATCAAACACTCAATACATTGCACGAACGAGATAGGTTTCTTTCATACATTGTATAGTTTGTATGTAATATTTATTATTTGGAATTTAAAGATATACAGCGAGCAGAGGTATCAAAATGGCACCTTCCATCCCTTGTTTTAATATTTATACATTAAATATCGACCTTCACCTTGTTAGCCAACATCCGTTCTTTTTTGTGTAGTACACCCTTGTAAAAATGTTAAATGAATGCATAGTCTTGATTTAGATATGACACATTTGTTTTCAAATCTATTCTTGCCATACCGTCTTATGGTTGGCAACAATAAAACTAACCTAGAAAGTATCGAAAAGTTCTGAGTCTGACACAATTTGGTATAATTTAATTTTGGGATACGAAGGGGAACATAGTTTGTTACCTTGACCCAGCAAATAAACTTTCCATCCATAGTTGGGTTACCAATTTCAACTTACTTCAAAGCACTGGAAAGTTCTGACACAATTTGGTATATTTTAAATTGGGATATAAAGTTGTACTTGATTTCTTACCCACCTTCTCATGGTTTGAAACAGTAACGTCAAATATCAGTAATATATATCTTATGTTATGGCATTCAAACATTCTATACCGGATATGAATTTGTATACTTTAATATGAGAAAGGAAAAAAAAGTGTGTGACTAGAATCTTTCATACATAAATACAGTATACGAAACAAAGAAAACTAACGAATGAGCTAAACGAACTCCACTATCAGATAAAATATAAATTGAAAAAAAGAGTGAAAATAAAATAAACAACACCTGATGAAGTTAATTCTAGAAAACGGGTCATGCGCTCGAAAATCTGGATCACAAACGTCTTTTCGTATGATTTTTAACTGATCAAGTTAAAACTTTTCAACATGAAACTGTCAACCTTTACATGTATGCACATTCCAGGGATAGGGTATTATGTTATGTTACTTTTGTTTTTATTAATATTGATATACTAATATTCAATACAATTCATGTTCAATCTTATCAGTATGAAATTTAAACAAAAAACAGTACACGTGCTTTTTGTCTATACAAGACTAATCAGTGGCACTACAATTTGAACAGTTGGTATGCCAAATCAATTCGAGGTTGAAAAGCTTTAAAAAAAAACAAAAATGTGTCCATAGTATACGAATGCCCTTCTCGCACTTTCATTTTCCATGTTCAGTGGACCGTGAAATCGGGATCAAAACTCTAATTTGGCATTAAAATTAGAAAGTTCATATCATAGGGAACACGTGTACTAGTTTTAAGCTGATTGGTTTTCAACTTGAGCAAAAACTACTTTGACCAAAAACTTTAACCTGACTTGACCAAAACCTTTAACCTGAAGCGGGACAGACGAACGAACGGAGGAACGAACGGATGCACAGACCGACAAACATAATGCTCATAAATTGGGCATAAAAACGAAAAGACACATATTTGCTTACATTGAACTAAAGTGGTTTGTTATACTGACTTAAGGGGGGCATTGACAAGGTTTGATAATAGGTTTATGAGTTTAAATCTTAGGTAAAGCATGTCGAACATATTTTCGTTATTCTATTTATATTCTTAATCTACATAATAACATGCAATAAGAAGACGTGCTACCTGAATTGCAATTAGCAAAATCATGAATATGTATGTATTTGTAGTTGAAAATATGTCATATTAAATCATTCCATATTTTTACTATTTTATGTATGGATTTTTTCCTGTTCAAATTGTTTACTAATAATTGTATTAAAACAATTTCCGTAAGAATAAAATATAGAAAATTACCAATATCACTTTAAAGAACTTGACGAATGTCAAGCAACTCAATCAGTTAAAATAATTGTACATACAATTTTTAATGGCACACGTCTTCTGATTAGCTGAAAGTTGTTGCGTCTGTCAGCTCAAAAACATTATGTTGTCATGTGATCGTGACGTCATCAACAAATTCAATCATCTCAATCAGTTAACATAATTGTATATATATACAATTTTGAATTGGAATAACTCTTGATAAACACGTAGTTATAATAGATTTATGACGTTTGATGATTGAATCAGGACTGTTTTTGTTTTGTTTTTGTTTTGAATTTTATGTTGAAGTTTAATTACCACCACTGCTTGTGTCGGTCAAAGGAACGCTGCAATTGAAGTATGATTGACTAGGAAACCATAAAGGATATGCAGTTGATTTTAGTCTTTTTTATACAATACTGTGGATTCATTATTAATCGTTGTATACCAATTTCCGTGGATATCGTGGGTACAGGTGAACAACGAAATTAAATTTCAACGAATAACAAATTTTCTGTAAGGCTTCCTGTAGACTTCGGCAGAACCACGAAATGAAATATCCACGAAAATGCAAGTTTTCCTCATCCACGAAAATTGGTACCCACGAAAAAAAATGAATCCACACTTTACCAAAAATCTTCATGTAGATGATCGTACTTAAATACAGAAAATGTATTTTCGGGACACATAATGTAATTTCTGGATTTTATCATTGATCCGAAACATTATTCCAGTTGTTTATTATTTATCACGTATGTCCTTTTGGAGTATATGCGATTCTCTCAATCATTATTTGCAGCTTGGTACGAATGAGTCTTATTTAGATCAAAAGTAAAATAATAAAGATACCGAACGCCCAGGAAAATTTTAAACGGAAAGTCCGTTATCAAATGACAAAATCAAAAAGTCAAAAACATCAAACGATTACAAAACAGTTGTCATAATCCCGACTTGGTACGCGTCTAGCGTACACAATTATAAGCGTGGTATAAGAAAGTATAACAAAAATTCCGAACTCTATGGCAAATTCAATAAGGGTGGAAGTCAATAAAATCTGACAAAATCAAACGTTATCAACTAACTGAACGAGGGAAAAACAACTGTCATATTCCTGACATGGTATATGCATTGTTCTACGAAAATGGTGGGGTAAATCTAGTTTTATAGCTAGCTTAACCTCGCTCTGGTTTACACAATTATAAGCCTGGTATTTTTTATCAGTGTTTAGTATCTTCTTCATAATTCATTTTTTTTCAGATTTGATAACGGTAAAAACTACTAATGCCTAAATTTACCTTCTTTTTTCTACATTTTTTTTTCAGATCTAGTGCATCTTGTTAATTGTGTTCCTGTTATAACCAATAACAACGCAGACAAGCATTCGTTGCAGATCAACGAGGAACGCAGGACCATAGATATGGAACCAGATGGCTTAATAGATGGTTATGAAGGTCTTCATGACCACAACTTACCAGAAAATCATTGGACAGATCAGCAAAACAATTCAAATGGGATAAACTATAAGCAAAAGAAAACTTTACTAGAAATTCCGGATAATGAACTGGCTGCCTTAGATAATTACAATAATACAGTTCAAAACAATGTAGACACAAAAAATGCAGAAGAACTTTCACAACATCATGAAGCATCTTCCTCACAGTTTTACAGGAATACAAGGGAAAATGTGTTCACTTCCGTCATAGGCGCCATTTTTGATTATTTCAAAGGAAAGTCTGGTAATAGCTCCAGAGATACCAAATTAGTTACGCAGGAGGATTACGTTTGGAAAGATGGCAAAGACAATAAAACAATTAACTTAATTACTATTGATGGATTAAATTCTTCAGTTATAAACAAACAAATCGATAAAAATAGTTATATAGTTGGCCATGGCGCTGGCAGAGAGTCGTATGAAACACCAGAACCGTTACTTGTTCATAATATCTCTTTCAATACAGATTCCATAGCAAATGAAATCAACGTTGAAAGGAATGGTTCATACGTGCATGTAAGTGGTTTTATAGAAAATGTGACAGATGTTCTAGATGAAAAGAACCAAGATTATCGACATGGTACTAAAAATGAAATAATTTCCAACGCCATCAATCTATATGGAATAGCCATACCACCTACCGATACAAATATTAATTCCCTGCATGATAAAGAAGACACAAATAACGGAAAAATTGAAGAGGTTGGTAATTATATAAATGCTCAGTTTACTCAAATAGAAGAACTGTCAAATAAAAAATCAGTTGTCAGGACAGGTAAACATCAGGTAGCTATAGGTCGAAAAGATTTGATGGAAATTTATCAGCATACAAACCATCACAACGTCATCCATCAACAGAAAACGGATTCATCGACTAAAAGGAACAACGAAATCACCTCAATTAATCATAACAATGACAGTGTGAAGGAAGGACCTGCATTCAGTTGGTTGTCTGGTAAATCAGCGGAAGTAAGAAACTCCGGAACTATGTTTGTTCCTACTTTTGAGGCTATTGATCCGATAGAGCATTCTGGGATACATCGTCCGGCATTAGCGTTTGCAAAAAATACCAATAGTGTGTCACGAAAAAGGATAAAAAAGAAAAAGCGAAAGAAAAGTAAAAGAAAAAGTAAAACACGCTTACGTAAAACAAAGACAGATCATACTAAAAAAGAAACGTTATCTCAACCCGTAACTAAGTCAATTCAAAAATCCAAAACTACGTCCATAAAGCCGATATCACAATCCAAAGTTAAGTCGATTCAGTCGGCCGTCGAACCAAGAAAAGATGTTTCAAAAGTCTCCAATTCGTTTAACCAGCTAGAACAGTTGGTCAACCTGGTAATGTCTACTAAGGGAAAACAAAAACATCAGAACGTTCAGCTGAAAAAGAAACAAAGACAAGATGTTCCGAAAGTCTCAAATAAATATAACAAACTAAAACAATTGGTCTCACTTGTGAAGTCTGTAAAGGAACCAAAAGCATTTGGAGAAACTCATAAAAGCGCTAAATTCCGAACAGACGTTAAACATGTGTTCGGAACTTTAGGCAAAAAAAAGTTGCAACAAGGAGCAGAAAGGAAAATGAAACCACTTGCTAATTTCATACCAAAGTCATACGGAATCAACATTAAGTCTGCAAACAAAGAATTAAAAGTTAATGAGCAAAAATATCAAGTACATAAACAGGCGAAACCTAGTATAAAGAGGATATTGAACGCCAAAAGATACCAGATTAAATCCTCGAACCATAAAGGTAAGCAAAACCTTAACTACATAGTAACATCAAAAGGCGATAGTGTTTCAAAAACAAATAATACTACACTTCAATTAGATCCCGATTATATTGTTACTGGATCAATGGATTTGAATGGAACAAATAATCATCTCTTCACAAACGAAAAAGGACAGACATCTACGCATAAATTTGCTTCACATATTATAAATGACTTGGTTCAGCGTGGTTTTCTTGAAGAGAACCATGCTTCCGGTATGTCGACTGCACCCGGTTCACCTCTAAAAATATCAAAGCCAAACGCCAAATTCATAGATGAACAATTCAGAAAACCTAACAACAAACATTCGATCAAAATATTACCCTCTTCACAAACACCAGAACGAGACTATTTCAAAATTTCTCCTCGATCCACCAATTCCGATTATTCGGAAGTGATACATTCAACCGTCGAACCTGTCCCTTCTCCAAAACCATCTGTTATCACGGAATTAATGAAAATGGGCTTCATAGACAAATATACTTTACCTATAATTGACATCAGGAAGTCAAATGATACACATATTAAACCAGAAACAGGTTCAAGGTCAAAGTCAAACAGTTCACAATATACTGTTTTAGAAACCAAAGAGAAAGCAAACAACTTCAATGAACAGACAGTTAATGGTTACATAGCCTCGAAAAAAATCGTAGGTAAAAAAGGAAAAAACAAACCAAAAGAGAAAAACATGAATGAACAAAATCCGAATGCACAAAATCTTTTATCAAAGGATTTAAAGATTCTTGATTTATTAAAAATGGGATTCATCGATAAGGAAACTTTATCATTAATCGACCTAATTAAGTCTAATGTTACTCGTGTTACTCAAGACATAGACAAAGCTGATTTAGAGGTAACAAAATCCCTCAGAGAAAACTTCCAATCAAGTGCTAAGGTGCTAATTAACTCAAAAGCTACTGAACAAAATCATATATCGACTTCAAGTAATATAGATAGTACTAAAGAGAGTAACAAGAAAGAAGGCATGCAAACAAACAAACAAATTGTTCCGTCAGACTTTAAACTTTCAAACATTCTCAAGGGCGATGCAAAGACAATAACAGATAATCAAAAACATAGAGAAAATAATGAAAAAACAATTTCAAAGGATAACAAAATTTTGGAATTAATGAAAATGGGCTTTATAGATGAAGCCACATTACCAATTATCGATCTAACCAAATCTGATGTCATTAAAGTAACATCCAAAACTGGCGATTTAGAATTAAAAAGTACAAAAGAAAATAAACAAATCAACCGATTAAACTCAGAACGTGTTAATATCGTAAATAGAGACGAACAGTTGATGTCGAAGGACAAAACAACTGGAAAGATCTACAGTCAGTCAGAGCTGATAGATTTAGTTTTAAAGGATGGGACAGAAAAGTTAAAGGACATAGAGGTTAGAGAACACGATAAGCAAACTCAAGATACATCTAACATAGAAGGGGAAGCCCCATTAAAGACAGACAAAGTAAATAAAAAATATAATTCGTTAAAATCAAAGAAATTACCTAAACGTAAAACAAAATTGAAATTTAACGAAACGATCGATTCAACACAAAATGCTCACTTACAATTCAACAAGTCAGTCGACGTGAACGATAAGAAGAAAGGAAAGATACAAGATACAATAATCAATAAAGAAAATATTATCATTAAAGATGTTGAATCTGACAATGCAAATACTCAATTACAATTAAACATGTCACAAGCTGAAAGGCAAATCAACCAATCACGGAAGTCCTTAAATATAAAGAAAATAGATCATCAACAGTTTATAGCTTCCATAATCAAGAAACAGAAGAAAAAATGGAAAAAGAAATCAAGAAGGCGTATGAAAAATAAAACCAAAAGCCGGATACAAACGAGTAAAGAAAACCTGTCAAAGTTTGTAATAGGTGCACAAACGAACGAATCAGTATTAGAATTTGAAAAATCAGCGAGAATGAACGTAATCGCTAAATCGGAAATAGGAACTCTTGACAATGAAGACGTGAAAGATCAACTAAAATTTAATAATTCCTTTACAGGTTCACCAATGAATCTTAAAGACAGTTTACAGAACGCACCTAAAAAAGCGAAAAAATCACGAAGCAGAAAAAAAAAGAAAACACCTAATGAAGATAAAAGTAAGATAGCAAATAGTAATGTTATAATATCGGAAACGGACGATTCTAATAACACAAAAACAAAAAATGAAGATATTATAATTGACGAAACTAATAACATAAATAACGAATCATCTTCATCAAGGGCTTTGAAAAACAAAGAGAAAAATAAAAATCTTTTCTTAGAAATAAAAGAGCTAGGAGGTCTTGAAAAAGTATTACAACCGCTGGATAAAAAAACATTTGATGGAAATCCTAGAACTGAGACTAATAATATAACATCCGAGCAAGCATATCAAAAGCAACCAATGAAAAATGAAAGTAATTCCTCTGATCAAAAATCGGACAAAGACGATCACACTGGTAACACGACTGATTCAGGAAATGTTGGCGAAGAGTCAGTTTTAAAAACTTCGTCACTTGAGGGACAACAAAAATCGCCAACCAAAATTAAAAACAAACTTTATTCGGATAATGTTAAATTAACAATTAAACATAATGGACAAAGTATAAAGACTATTCTCCAGAGGATAAACGATTTGAAAAGTAAAACCTTAGAATCAGAGCTACTTTTATCGTTAGCTTTAGATCAGTTGTCTAAATCTGGAAATGTGGAACGTGTGGTCAAAACTGACCACAATGTTTTTCCTATTAATACATCACTAAAATCTTTGACTGAAAATTTAACGTCACCATTGAGTCTTGACCAAACTATTGAAGCAACTAATTTACTTTCAGCTGAAAACAAAGAAATGTTTTTTGAGACAGATTTGACTTCGCCTGTATCACAGTCAGCCGGTAACAAGAATATTAAAATAAGGAAAATGTCAACCTCAAAGTTACCTTCAAAGGAAGATTTTCTAGATACACAGAAGTTAAATCCACATGCAATAAAAGGAATTCCTAAGTCGTTACTGAAACACGATGTAGATATGATCATTCAAAAAACTGTTTTATCAGGTAGAAAGACGAAAACATCGAAAAAGGTGACCGGCAAATCGACGAGACCTAAAACAAAAACTAAAAAGACCAAAGCGGTCACATCGTCGAAACATAAATCTAAAGATGACAGAAAACTACTTCCGGTTAACCTAAATACGTTAGACTACACTAGTCAAACCAATATAAACAATAGTGAGCCGTCAAAACTGGATTTACATTCAGAATCGGAAATCATAAAATCAAATGAGCACCTAAAAACTGTGAATATACCAATGTCTACAACTTCCAAAGTAAATTCAACATCTCAAAGGTCTGAAAACACCGATAAAAATGAAGTGAAATATGAAGAAGGCGAACAATCCCTGAAGTTGTCGAATCAAAATGAAGAATCAACAAATGATACTACGAAAATTACAAAGCATGAACGTAAAGAAATATCAGAAATAGGAGAAGAGGATTCTACAATTAAATCAAAGAAGACAATTAGCAAAGATATATCGCCGACAAACAAATCGTCTTTATCAAGCAGGGATTCAACACTTCATGCTACAAACATACCAAATAAAAAACAGCAGACTGTGATATCGGAACTAATCGTTCCTAACCAAATGCTGTCTGATAAATCATCGGATAAGTTGCCTCCAATCAAATCAGGTTCTTTAATTAACATAAAACAAAGGGAACATCAAACTCTTTCGAGATTAAATACATCACAGCACGTCTATACAAACAAGACAACGACCTCAATCTCGCCACAACAGACCAGAAACGAAACTTTGCTGAATGAAAATGAAATGCAATCAATTAAGATACAAAACTTGATGAACCAAACTTTGGACGGTGTAGAAACAAAGCAAGTTTCATCTTCAGAAATCTTAGATACATCAGTTATTGATAAATCACCTCTTGAAAACACTTTAGATGTACAAGGTAATCAAGAAAGTGTTGATTCCAACATTACCATGTGGTCAACTGAAACTAAAGACAACAGTACAAGTTTGGCCGATAACGATGAAAAAAATACTGCAGAAGTTTTTCAAGACAACTTACCAACTGTTGAAAGAAATATCATAAAAACTCACGAGGATTTAAAGGACAGATTAACACCAAGAGACAGAAATGTTTCAAGGAGTTCTACTGAAAAACAGACTCGGCAAAATTTAAGCGATAGAAATGAATCTAAAACTACAAAAGGTAATAAGGGCAAGATTACAATGGTTGAAACAGTGACATCCAAAGAACATTCTGATAGGGTATTGTTAGGCGATAGAAACGTTACAAAAACTACCAAGGATGAAAATGAAAATGATTTTATAAATCAAAAAAAGGAAAATGATTTTATAAAACAAAAAAAGGAAAATGATTTTATAAAACAAAAAAAGGAAAATGATTTTATAAAACAATTGCGAGATCTCAAAGAAAGAATGATGTCTGAGGCAGCAAATGATAAAAGCTCTACCGTTAACAGTGAGGACAGGTTATCCTCCGTAGATATAATGGTAAAGGGGAGAAATATGAAAAAAGAAGAAAATGCTTCGTTACGAACGAGTGTTGCACCAAAATATGAATTACATTTAAATGGAGAAGGTGCTTTACAATATAACCATTCCCCATTAGTTTCTAAACCAGATTTAGTAGATATGTACAAAGAGATGAATTATTCTGATCCGAAATTAAAAGTCCCGGATACATCTTCTTACAATAACCGCAGGAATAAAAAATATCCTCAAATACATTCAGTACCTTCAGGCCGGGGGAAAGTCAACTCCGTGTCTTATTCTGCAATCTTACGTTCATTTAGAAAGGAAGGGGGAAATCAACCAATGTTAAATAGACCTAATATAGTGGGTGAACAATTCTTAGGCGCATCCTCCCAATTCGATTATCCTACTTCAACTTCACAACAAAATTTGGTTCTAGCAGAACAACAGGGAACAACCACAACTGTACCAACAAGTGTGGACTCTAGCGGTTTGGTATCGGCCCGAGTAGACCAAACAGAAAATACAAAATGGGCGTCACTAGCTTCCGGCATAATGCAACGCGACAAGAAAGCTCCAGGTGTTGTAATAGATAATAAAAGAACATCGATTGTTGGGGGCAAACAATGGCCAGCATTAGTAGCACAACATTTGCAATGGACTGATACTGCACCAAATTCTATGTCTTTATCCATGGGTCATAATACGGACGGCAGATATATTAGTGACCCATTCACAGGAAAAGATAGGCATATAGGAACAATTGATAAAGTAAATAGTGGTATGCATCTCAACGGAAAAGGGGTTTCAAATTTAAGGCCAAAGCAGAGAAAAACAGTAGACAATGACCAGCAATTCGAAAATATTTTAAATTCACTTGTTGATGTAGCTATGGAATCGTCATATTTAGCACAAGAGCAACGTGGTGGTATTGTAGACCAAACTATGGGTCGAGTTGTTGACAAAGCAATCAAAACACAAACGAGGAAAGGCAATCCAGCGACTCCAATGTATAGCAAATGGGATCGCCATGGTACAATGCATAATAACGATAGAGATATGATAAATAATTATAGAATAAGCTCAGTGCCATTGCCACAAAATATAGATAGAAATCCTAATACAGACGTCAATAGGATAAAAGATCAAAATTCGGTTGATTTATCGTTAGGATATCAACAAACCACGTCTACACAACCACCTAATCTTTTTATGTATGGCAAATCCCAAAATTACTGGTGGCACGACCGCCAGGTAAGAGGACCAAGTGATGTCTTGACGTTTTCAGGAGCAAATCTTCCCTTAAATAGTATGCGGCGAAGAATAGGCAATAAACCTGTGAACTCAGTAAAATCTACTATATTAAATTCAAAAGTTTCAAAGGCGGATATTAATCGCTCCAGTCCTCGCGTTCGTAATGACAGAATTTTAAAGGTAGCAACAGAACCAGACATTGTATTACTCAACAGGAAACCAGACATTGGATTACACAGTAGTGAACCAGGCATTGAATTACACAGCAGGCGAGCGATTGATTTACATAACAAAGAAGAGATCCAGACAACGGATGTTAATTTAAACAACAAACCCAGTCAAATCTATTCTAATATTGAATTACCAGGCTTGAAAGCGCCAGGATTACAAATACGTTCAATGGAAACTCCGAAGAAAAAGAACATACAATTTGGCGGTCTTTTTGTAGCACAAAATGCAGCAAATGAACAACAAGAACGGATAAAGATGCAAGATGAACCTAATAGGGCCATTAGACCACATCAAAGGCTCACTAATAAGAAAACTATTCATCTAATGCCTGGTATACTTGGCGCACATGATATTTTATCTCTACAAAACCAACACAATTCTCAACCTGATGTAACTGATTTACACACGCCAACTGTTCCCTATTCAAGGTTGGTGCCGCAAAATCAATACCACAACACAATACCAGGTACACCAAATTATGGTTTTCCATTTGAAATGAGTCTTCTGCAGTTCCAGCATGCAAGAAATCAGGGTACACGCCGAATACGTGTTAGATCTCCACAGGAAATGGCGAAAACCCAGATTCATTACGATGCTGGTCTAGCAAATAAGGTTTCCAGCAATAACTTGAATCCAAACGATTATGCCTACGAGTACCCTGGCCAACCACATGAAGTAGTCGTTAATATTAATATAATGAAAAATCTGTCAAACGTATGTGCCCCTGACGAACGTTTTACCTGTAATCCGGTTGAAAATAACGTAGCGGTGTCTGAACTACGTTCCTTGTGTATATCGAGCTGTAATCAGGGATACTGTCCTGTCGATAAATGTTCGTGTTTCTGTGTTTCTTTGACAACCCTTGATGTTAAGAACATTATAGTCGAGTCGAACAAAGTAGTACCTTCGAAACAGACAAACTTATTGGGACATATACTCGAAAACTCAGGAACCAATACTCCAAAGCTTCCAAAAACAGTAAATATTATCGGTATGAATTCTGATATCTCTGGAACCACTTCTCCTAAGAATTCAAACACAATGAATATAATTGGTATGAAAGCTGGAAACTTAGGAACCGGTTCTCCAAAGCCTTCAAAAACAGTGAATATCATCGGTATGAATGCTGAAAACTCAATAAACGGTTTTCCTGCGCCTTTTAAAACAGAAAATAACATTGGTATGAATGCTGAAAATTTAGGAACCGGTTCTCCTTCGCCTCCAAAAACAGTGAATATCATTGGTATGAATGCTGAAACCTCAGGAACTGCTCCTCCTACGCCTTCCAATACTTTGAATATGATTGGTATGGTCAGAAGTAATCCTCTGCCGCACGAGGTTCTACAAATACCAAGAGTGACATGTACCGTAACAAGTCTGTTTTTGTCTATAAAAGGAATGATAGATTGGTGTAATACTGAGTGTAATATAAGTTTAAATAATTGCCCTATGCATATTTGTGATTGTCAATTCATTTTATAGGATGTATTTATATTGTAATGAGCTTTCATGTAGATGTGTGGCGGTTTTTAACAAGAACAGTTTTTATGTCATGAAATTGAAGAAAACAAATTAACATCATTGCTTGAAATTGATTTATAAATTAATTAAAAATTTTATATCGTTTGTACGATGAATATATTCTTGAAACTCGATTAATATAAATAAGAAGATGTGGTATGAGTGCCAATGAGGCAACTCTCCATCCGAGTCACAATGGATAAAAAGTATACAACTATAGGTCAAAGTACGGACTTCAACAGGGAGCCCAAAATGACTAGTGTAAAACAATTCAAACAGGAAAACCAACGGTCTAAACTATACAAAAAAAAACGAGAAACAAGAAACACCGATGAACCAGACCAACAAACGACCACCACTGAACATCAGATTCCTGACTTAGGACAGACCTGTGCATAAAAATGCAGTTGGTTTAAACGTTTTATCAGGCACCAACCTTCATCCTAACGTGAGACAGAAGTGTAACATTACAACATAAAAAGACACACTATAAAGTATCAATTGAAATGGCTTAACTCGATCAAAAATATATTTTAACAAACAAAAAACAAGTAAACATACACTGAAGCTATTAACTATTATCTGACGTATGTCATGTATAAATGCCTAACAATGTAATTTTAAAACACTTTTCAATAAATTAGCCACTCAATCCAAAAAGATACAAAAAGTGTTTTGTTAAACTTTACAGGACACGTTGTTAAAGTTCGTTAAAATGTTTTTAAAAAACTTTTTTATCCGTAAAATTTTGTATAATATAGCAATAAGAAGCTGTGGTATGATTGCCAATATAACTCTCTACAAGAAATAATGTACACATTCATAACATTGTCCTGAATTTGTCAGTGTGAAAGTACATTGATCCAAAAGTCCTGAACTTGATATTTGAATGTACTTTGACCTAAAAGTCTATTACAAAAACGTAATGCTTACAGACACCCCAGTTATCTTAACATGCAAATTCAATATACATTTGAATGCATAACAATGAAACCAAAAGCATAATAATCACACTAGACACCTAGTGATCACACAACACATCTAGTGTTTTCATTAGACAATTGATGATCACACTAGACATATTGCAATCAAATTAGAAACATGATGGTCATCCTTATCACATAATGATCAAAATAGGCACATGATAACATTAGACACATGATCATAATGGACACATGATTACACAAGACACTTGATCACACTAGACATATGATCACGATAGACACATGATCATAATATACACAAGAACATAATGGACACATAATCAATCTAGATGCATCATCAAAATAGACACATTATCACACTAGACACGACTTTAATAGACACATGATCATAATAGACACATGGTCACAATAGGCACATTATCATAATAGACACATGGTCACAATAGGCACATGATCATAATAGACACATGATCATAATAAACATATGACCATAATAGACACATGATCATAATAGACACATGGTCACAATAGGCACATGATCATAATAGACACATGATCATAATAGACACATGACCATAATAGACACATGTTCATAATAGACACATGGTCACAATAGACACATGATCATAATAGACACATGGTCACAATAGGCACATGGTTTACATATACACATTAACATATGAACACACATAATGATAAATATAGACACATGATCACACTAGACATATGATCACAATAAGCACTTGATCACAATAGACACATAATCACACTTAACACATTATGATCACATTAGACACACGAAGAGTCCGTAGACACATGGTTATCACACTTGACACATGAAAAGTCCGTAGACACATGGTAATCACACTGGACAAATGAAGAATCCGTAGACACATGGTAATCACACTAGACCCATAAAGAGTCCGTAGACACATGGTTATTATACAAGACACACGTTGATTTGGTTTGGTATTTGGTTTAAACATTACGACCTAAGCATCACCGAAAAGACATTAATTGTCGAAATGCGCATCTGGTGCATAAAAATTTGAACTATAATGTTACACTATATATATGTTAATGTCTCTCTAACACTTGGTGATTCCACTGGACATCTGCAGCCGGTTGTACGAACGTGGCATTAGACTATTGAGTCATTAAGTCTTCATTAAGCCTTTATGATGCATTAGGCTAATGAAGACTTAATGACTCATTAGACTAATGACACGTTCGTACAACCGGCTGCTGGTCATTATATTACAATAATAGTCAAACATATGTAATACAACATGTCAACATAATATTAGAGGCGTGTGTGCGAATATGAAGTTCTTGGGTGTTCATTATTTCGTAGAATTCTTTCGGTTTCTGGTGACCCTTTGAATAAATACATCATTATGATATACATTTACGTGTATACATATTATAATAAGTGTTTCTAATGAATGTTATAGACTAAAAAACAATGTTTATCTACATAAGGCATATCTCGGCAGAACGATTTACTCTACTTTGTTCGTTATACATACTGTGAATATTAAGTTCTTTGTTTTACATAAATCTTTAAATCATCCGATTAAGGTTCATCATAACAAATGGACAAATATGGCCGTATTTTCACCTCAAAAACTACACTGTGTACAGACTTACCTGTGCAGTTTGGAAAGTTTTAAGGCCTGGCATCCACTAGATATATAAAATTTAAATTTATGTTGCATATCAGAAAGTTAAAATCGTTTTTGAATTTTGATGGGCATTTTTTTTCCTTCCTGCAGAAGGTGTAAAAATAAACAAACACTTGAATTGCATTTGATACTGTCCACTCAGTTTCTACCTTTAACTCACCTATAGATGTGTAGATATCTATTGTCCATGCCAATCAAGGACAATCAATACAATACAAACCAGTTGTTACCTGATAGGGAGCATCTCAAAGATGTATCCCAACTTAGTTAATTTTTGTGTGCGAATATGAAGTTCTTGGGTGTTCATTATTTCGTAGAATTCTTTCGGTTTCTGGTGACCCTTTGAATAAATACATCATTGTGATATACATTTACGTGTATACATATTATAATAAAACAAACCAAACCTATTTTTATCCGTAAAATTTTGTATGATATAGCAATAAGAAGCTGTGGTATGATTGCCAATATAACTCTCTACAAGAAATAATGTACACATTCATAACATTGTCCTGAATTTGTCAGTGTGAAAGTACATTGATCCAAAAGTCCTGAACTTGATATTTGAATGTACTTTGACCTAAAAGTCTATTACAAAAACGTAATGCTTACAGACATCCCAGTTACCTAAACATTCAATTTCAATATACATTTAAATGTATTACAATGAAACCAAAAGCATTATAATCACACTAGACACCTAGTGATCACAAAACACATCTAGTGTTTTCATTAGACAATTGATGATCACACTAGACATATTGCAATCAAATTAGAAACATGATGGTCATCCTTATCACATAATGATCAAAATAGGCACATGATAACAATAGACACATGATCATAATGGACACATGATTACACAAGACACTTGATCACACTAGACATATGATCAAGATAGACACATGATCATAATATACACAAGAACATAATAGACACATAATCAATCTAGATGCATCATCAAAATAGACACATTATTACACTAGACACGACTATAATAGACACATGGTCACAATAGGCACATTATCATAATAGACACATGGTCACAATAGGCACATGATCATAATAGACACATGATCATAATAGACATATGACCATAATAGACACATGATCATAATAGACACATGGTCACAATAGGCACATGATCATAATAGACACATGATCATTATAGACACATGACCATAATAGACACATGATCATAATAGACACATGGTCACAATAAACACATGATCATAATAGACACATGGTCACAATAGACACGTGATCACAATAGACACGTGGTCACAATAGGCACATGGTCAAAATATACACATTAACATATGAACACACATAATGATAAATATAGACACATAATCACACTAGACATATGATCACAATAAGCACTTGATCACAATAGACACATAATCACACTTAACACATATTGATCACACTAGACACACGAAGAGTCCGTAGACACATGGTTATCACACTTGACACATGAAGAGTCCGTAGACACATGGTAATCACACTGGATAAATGAAGAATTCGTAGACACATGGTAATCACACTAGACACATAAAGAGTCCGTAGACACATAAAGAGTCCGTAGACACATGGTTATCATACAAGACACACGTTGATTTGGTTTGGTATTTGGTTTAAACATTACGACCTAAGCATCACCGAAAAGACATTGTCGAAATGCGCATTTGGTGCATAAAAATTGGAACTGTAATGTTACACTATATATATGGTAATGTCACTCTAACACATTATTACAATAATAGTCAAACATATGTAATACAACATGTCAACATAATATTAGAGGCGTGTGTGCGAATATGAAGTTCTTGAGTGTTCATTATTTCGTAGAATTCTTTCGGTTTCTGGTGACCCTTTGAATAAATACATCATTATGATATAAATTTACGTGTATACATATTATAATAAGTGTTTCTAATGAATGTTATTGACTGAAAAGCAATGTTTAACTACATAAGGCATATCTCGGCAGAACGATTTACTCTACTTTGTTCGTTATACATACTGTGAATATTTAGTTCTTTGTTTTACATAAATCTTTTCCTGCAGGTAAGTCTGTACACAGAGTAGTTTTTGAGTTGAAAATACGGCCATGTTTGTCCATTTGTTATGATGAACCTTAACACAGTCGATAATATGAGAGTAATTGTGTGTGTATAAGAAAACGTTGTTGTAATTTTCCAAACAGGTCACGTTATATATAGTAAGATGGAAATGCTTAATAATTGTATTCATATAAATCAATACATCACAAAAAGTCACTTTCGCTATCATATATCAATTAATAAAAAGCTTCTCCAACATATATATATACTAAACGTAAGCACCAAGCAGAGACATACAAAATATAATATGGTAAGTAAAGTAATAAGGATTCATACTATGAAAGAGCATGTATCTTGTTCCGTGGCAGTGAAAAGTAAAGTACAAAAATACCGAACTCCAAGGAAAATTCAAAACGGAAGGTCCCTTATCAAATGGCAAAATAAAAAGCTCAAACACATCAAACGAATGAAAACAACTGTTATATTCCTGACTTGGTACAGACATTTCCTTATGTAGGAAATGGTTGACAAAACCTTGTTTTATAGCTAGCTGAACCTGTCGCCTGTATGACAGTCGCATACAATTTCATTATATTGACAACAGTGTGTTAACAAAACAAACAGACATAATAGGTGAACATGTCAAAAATATGGTAACAGTAGTCACATAATATTATAATCTTAATCACTATATAAAACGAACAAATATGTAACAAAGAAAAACAAAATGAAAGATTATACGCGAGTAGTATGTACTTAACGCCAATGGTCGGGACTTAATTAGACAAACTGTCTGGTTATAAAGGGACAGCCATAAGTTATTCTGGTGGGGAGAGGGCGGGGAAAATTTTTGTGCATTGCATATTCATTTTTATATGTTGCTATGCATGCTAAGCCTTTCAAAAACTTGTTTTTACTTTTGTACATATGTATATATATGTCCTGAATTTTTCTTCTGCAAACTATTCATTTACATCCGTCTTGACGTTTTCAGGAGCTAATCTTTCTTCAAATAGTAACCGGCCAAAAATAGAAAATAGAACTGTGAACTCTGTAAATTCTACTATGCTAAACACAAAAGTCTCAAAGGCAAATATTAATCGTTCCAGTCCTCGCGTAAGTCTAGACAGAATTTTAAAGAGTTTAACAGAACCAGACATTGAATTGCTCAGCAGGAAACCAGACATTGGATTACTCAGCAGGAAACCAGACATTGGATTACTCAGCAGGAAACCAGACATTGGTTTACTCAGCAAGGAACCAGACATTGGATTACTCAGCAGGAGAGCGAATGATTTACAAAACTTAAAAGAAATCCAGACAACGGATGATAATTTAAAAAACAAACCCAGTCAAATATATGCTAATTTTAAATTACCAGGGTTGAAAGCGCCGGGATTGCAAATACGGACAATGGACATTCCCAGGAAAAAGAATGTACAATTAGGCGGTCTTTTTATAGCACCAAATGCAGCAAATGAACAACGAGAACGGATAAAGATGCAGGGTGGACCAAATAGGTCCACTCGACCAGACAAAAGGTTGACTAAGAAGAAAACTATTCATCTAATGCCTGGTATACGTGGTGATATTTCATCTCTACAAAACCAACATCATTCTCAACCTGTTTTAACTGATTTACAAACTGTTCCCTATTCAAGGTTGTTGCCTCAAAATTCACAGCAATCAATGTCAGGTACACGCAATTATGGTAACTTTCCGTTTGAAATTAGTCTTCTGCAGTTCCAGCATGCAAGCCATCAGGATACACGCCGAATCCGTGTTAAATCTTCACCGGAAATGGAGAAAAAACAATTTCATGTCCACGCTGGTCTAGCAAATAAGATTTCCAGCAATAACTTGACTCCAAACGGTTATGCCTACGAATACTCCGGCCAACCACATGCAGTAATCATTAATATAAGTACAATGAAAAATCTTTCAAACGTCTGTGCCCCTGGCGAACGTTTTACTTGTAATCCGGTTGAAAACGTAGCCGTGTCCAAATTACATTCCTGGTGTATATCGAACTGTAATCAGAGATTATGTCCTGTCGTTAAATGTTCGTGTATATGCATTTCTTTGGCAACCCATGATGTTAGGAACATTATAGCCGAGTCAAACGAAGTAGTTCCCTTTAAACAGACAAACTTTTTGGGACAGATAAGTCAAAACTCAATAACCGGTACTCCAAAGCTTCCAAAAACAGTGAATATCATTGGTATGAATGCTGAAACCCTAGAAACCGGTTCTCCTATGCCTTCAAAAAAAGTGAATATTAATGGTGTGAATGCTGAAATCTCGGGAACCGGTTCTCCTATGCCTTCAAAAACAGTGAATATTATTGGTATGAATGCTGCAATCTCGGGAACCGGTTTTCCTACGCCTCCAAAAACAGTGAATATTAATGGTATCAATGTTAAAATCTCAGGAACCCGTACTCCTACACCTTCAAAACCAGTGAATATAATTGGTATGAATGCTGAAAACTCAGCAACCGGTTTTCCTCCGGCTCCAAAAACAGTGAATATGATTGGAATGAATGCTAAAATCTCAGAAACCGGTTCTCCTATGTCTTCAATAACCGTGAATATTAATGGTAGGAATGCTGAAATCTCGGGAACCGGTTCTCCTACGCCTTCAAAAACAGTGAATATTATTGGTATGAACGGAAGTGATCTTCTGCCGCAAGATGTAGTACAAAAACCAAGAGTGACGTGTACAGTCAAAAATCTGTTTTCGTCAAGCAAAGGGATGATTGATTGGTGCAACACTGAGTGTAATATAAAATTGTCTGAGTGTCCAATGCATATTTGTGACTGTCAATTCGTTTTATAACATATATTTATATGTTCATGCGATTTCATGTAGACGTGTGGCAATTTTTAAGAACAGTTTTAACGTCATGTTATTCAAACAATTGTATTAATGACACCATTGCTTGCAATTGATTTAGAAATTAATTCAAAATTTTATATCTTAAGTATTATGAATATATTCTTGAAACTAGATAAAGACTTCAATTAACATCCGAAGTATATATACCTAACAATGTAATTTTAACACACTTTTCAATATAATAAAATATATATTTACAAGTAATAAACGCAATATTAGAAAAAAAAACCTTCATCGGGTTTGCACCTATCTAGGTGAAATCGGAATCAGATAAGGAACTCATTGCACATTGAAAAAAATGTAGAATGAGCTGCATAAGTTTAAGAATAAATGATGTGTTAAAATTATATTGGTAGGACATTAATAATTTTATTTGTGTAATTGAATCTATCTTTGCACTGATTAATCCACACTCATATAGATTTGTATGTTATGTGTTGCTAAATTATATGCACTTGTATAGTAATATAATATATAGATTCTAGCACGCTACCCCGGTAAGACTCGCATTTTAATTTTGGGCTATTATTGTAACCTTTAAAAACTTACAAATCAAATTATGTCAAGTTAATTGTACAATATATGTCTCCAGCCTACGTTATGTTTAGTGTACAATATATGTCTCCAGCCTACGTTATGTTTTTATTGTACAATATATGTTTCCAGCCTACGTTATGTTTTTATTGTACAATATATGTTTCCTGCCTACGTTATGTTTTGTATTGTACAATACATGTCTCCACCCTACGTCATGTTAAGTGTACAATACATGTCTCCACCCTACGTTATGTTTATTGTACAATACATGTCTCCAGCCTATGTTATGTTCAGTGTACAATACATGTCTCCACCCTACGTTATGTTTATTGTACAATACATGTCTCCACCCTAAGTTATGTTTAGTGTACAATACATGTCTCCAGCGTACGTTATGTTTATTGTACAATACATGTATCCAGCATACGTTATGTTAATTGTACAGTACATGTCTCCAGCCTATGTTATGTTTTTATTGTACAATACATGTCTCCAGCTTACGTTATATTTATTGTACAATACATGTCTCCAGTCTACGTTATGTAAAATGTACAATACACGTCTCCAGTCTACGTTATGTTTATTGTACAATATATCGGTATGTCTCCAGCCTGTGTTATGTTTATTGTACATGTATGTCTCCAGCCTACGTCATGTTTATTGTACAATACATGTCTCCACCCTATGTTATGTTTAGTGTACAATACATGTCTCCAGCATACGTTATGCTTATTGTACAATACATGTCTCCAGCATACGTTATGTTAATTGTACAATACATGTCTCCAGCCTACGTTATGTTTTTATTGTACAATACATGTCTCCAGCTTACGTTATATTTATTGTACAATACATGTCTCCAGTCTACGTTATGTAAAATGTACAATACACGTCTCCAGCCTACGTTATGTTTATTGTACAATATACCGGTATGTCTCCAGCCTGCGTTATGTTTATTGTACAATACATGTCTCCAGCCTACGCTATATTTATCAAATTTACTAATATACTTTATACTTCTTGCACCCAGGGGGCGAGGATGCCGAGTGGTCTAAGTAGTTTAACTACTGTTCAACTAGCCTGTCAACACTGAGGTTGTGAGATCGGACCAAACGCATGGCAGGTGTGCTCGACCCAATTCCAGTTTCCTCACCAATAAAACAACTTCTACGAAAAAGCCAAAGGTGCTGAAAGTTGCGTTAAACATCAATCAATCAATCTCGCACCAAGTCTACCTCAACATATCACAATATTGTAGGCATAAATGAATGAGCAAGTAAACTAAAAGAATATCTCCCTCCACCCCAACAATCGAACAAAAAAAAGAGTTTATCACATGGTTTTCAACGAATTCAATTTGTTCCAAAACAATATGAAAGCAGATACTCAACAAAAAAGTTACAACGACGAATTAGATTTTGTCTAGAATCTGTTTGTTTCGTACGAAAGACGGGCGGACATAGTTGTCACTTAAGCTCACATTGATTTTTCACGTGATCATAAACAATACTTCCAATATAACTTTTTTCTTAGTATTATTCCCCAATTAATGTTTTATGTGTTTTACCTTTTGGAAATTACAGTTTTCAAAGGAAAAATAAATACCCTTCCCGTTATGAGATATTTGGACGTTTATCCAAATAGGGGCACGTTCTGTGTTTTCTTACGATCTCTTGCAAAGACTTTCTAACAACACGATGTTTTTATTAATGTATTTGATATTAAATGTATGGATGTGACTACTTATAGACAACAAAATGTTTTATTATATCTTGTATTCATTTTGTAATGATTGGGAGAAAAAAAAATAATCCCAATCTTAATTTCACATGCCGATACCCTATCAGTTTCCTTAGCAGACTTAAATTTCAGATCAATATAGCAGCAACGTAAGGTATATGTACAATGGAATTTTGTATAAATATAAAATTGAAAATACTCGTTCTCATAGCAAAAATAAGCAATCGACAAACGTTTATACTTTTCAAACACTACATTTAACAATATTTAAATACGATATCTTTGCATAACAATGAAACCAAAAGCATTGTGATTACACTAGACACCTAGTGATCACACAACACATCTAGTGTTTTCACTAGACAGTTAATAATCAAAATAGACACCTGATGATTACACTTAACTCATGATAATTACACTAGACATATTGTGATCACACTATAAATATGATGATCACACTAGAAACATGATGATTACACTAGACATATTGTGATCACACAAGAAACATGATGATTACACTAGACATGTTGAGCGCTCACAAACATGTTTAACCCCACCACATTCTGTATGTGCCTGTCCCATGTTAGGAGCCTCTAGTTCATTGTTTTTCGTAAAATGTTTTGTTATAAATTAGCCCGTTAGTTTTCTCAATTGAATTATATCATATTTTTTATGCCGGGGCCTTTTATAGCTATACGGTATGGGTTTGGCTCATTGTTGAAGGCCGTACGGTTGCCTATAATTGCTTATATAGATATAAGAAGATGTGGTATGAGTGCCAATGAGACAACTCTCCTTCCAAGTCACAATTTGTAAAAGTAAACCATTATAGGTCAAAGTACGGCCTTCAACACGAAGCCTTGTCTCACATCGTACAGCAAGCTATAAAGGGCCCCAAAAATTACTAGTGTAAAACCATTCAAACAGGAAAACCAACGGTCTAATCTATATAAAAAACGAAAAACGAGAAACACTTATGAACCACATCAACAAACGACAACCACTGAACATCAAGTTCCGGACTTAGGACAGGGGCAAACAAATGCAGCGGGTTTAAACGTTTGAATAGGCGTCAACCTTCACTCTACCTAAAACAATAGTGTAACATCACAACATAGAAAGACACACTATAAAATATGAATTGAAATGGCTTAACTCAATCAAAAGACATATTAACAAAAACAAGTGAACATACACTGAACGAATAAATTTGATATATGACACAATGTAAATACAAAATTTATAAAACAAGGGGGTTAGATATAAAACAATATCAGAAAGACAACCATAACCTTGGACAAAATGCCGCCGAATAAAATAACGTACACAGGTAAATTAAAATAATTTTGTTGTAAGGTATACATGGAGTAATGTATGGAAATAATTTTTACAAAATAAATAATTTTTGATGATCCTAGTACGAGAACAAAAGTGAAAACTTATCGTCATATATCCACTTCAGTTGAACTTTGGTGGATAGTTGTCTCATTGACAATCGTACCACATCTCTTTATTTTTATATTAACACATAAAAATCTCATGATGATCACATACTAGATATATTGTAATTACAGTAGAAACATGATGATGACTATAGACTCATGGTAATCACACTAAACACATAATGATTACTCAAAACACATTTTGGTTACTCTAAACACATGATGATTACTCTAAACACATGATGATTACTCTAAACTCATGGTAATTTGGTTTGATCAGCTCTTCAACGTTTTTATTAGGTTTCGGATTTTCAAATATTTTGGCCCGAGCATCACTGAAGAGACATTAATTGTCGAAATCGAAATGCACATCTGGTGCAGTAAAATTGGAACTGTTTATGTTACACTATACACATGGTGATTTTACTCGAAACTTGTTGATTACACCAGACACATGGTGATTCCACTGAACATCTGGTCATTACATTACATAAACTGTTCAAACATATGTTGTGTGAATAAGACATGTCAACATAAGATTAAAGGCGTGTGTGAGAATATAAAGTCCTTGCGTGTTCATTATTTCGAAGAATGCTTTCGCTTTCTGTTGTCCCTTTAAATAAAAATATAAATTATGATATCAGTTAACGACATATTATAATAAGTGTTTCTAAGATATGTTATCAAGTGAAAAGAAATGTTTAACTACATTGTTATTATTTAGTTCTTTGCAATACCTACCTACTTATTTGTAGATCTTGTCTTGCTGATCATTTTTTCAATTTAAAGTGTCTATCTACCTTTTATAGTTTTCGCGATAGTAGACAAAATCGTAAAATATTGGAATAAAACGTCATTAAAGAGCAAGAACTCCTACAAGGACTCCGCTGACGATTTCGGCTATTCGACGTATTTGTAGATCTTGCCTTGCTGATCTTTTTTGATTATCTAAGTTTCTATGTTTATGTTATAGTTTTTCAGATAATAGGCAACAACGCAAAAAATTGATAAAAATCGTCATTAAAGGGCAATAACTCCAATGTGGAGTCGCATGACCATTTCAACAATGCAAGTTATTTGTAGATCTTGTCTTGCTGATCATTTTTGGTATATAAAGTTTCTCTCCATCTATTATAGTTTTATCAGATATTAGGCAAAAATGAAAATAATCGGTAAAATTCGTCATTTAAGGGCAATAACTCTTTAAAGAAGTCGTCTGACAGTTTTAAAATAAATACACAAAAGATAGATCCATCATTTTGAATATTTGTGCATCTTTCAGATTGTCTCTTTTTATAGCAGTTTTCAAGATAATGGACTAAATTTGCATTTTACCCCTATATGTTCTATTTTTAGCCATGTTGGCCATGTTGGTTGACAGGTGGGGTCATCGGACACATTTTTAAAACTAGATATTCTAATGATGATTGTGATCAAGTGTGGTTAAATTTGGCCCACTAGTTTCAGAGGAGAAGATTTTGTATAAGTTAACGACGACGACGGATGACGGACGCCAAGTGATGAGAAAAGCTGACTTGGCTTTTTACAATGTAGCCAAGGTGAGCTAAAAAAAATAAGATGGAAATGCTCAAAAATTGTATTCATATAAATCAATACATCACAAAAAGTAACTTTCACTATACCAGTATATCAATTAATAAACAGTTTTTCCAACACATATATATTCTACACTTGACCCAGATGCACCCAGCAGAGATATATATATAATAAAATATTATACGGTAATTAAAGTAATAAACATCGATACTATAAAATAAGAGAAGAGCATGCATCAAGTTTAGCGGCAGAGAAAGAGTAAAGGCGACTAGTCTGTACTTAACCTGAATGGTTATAAGGGCACAACCATTAAATATTCTGGGCGGTGCGGTCCGGGAGGAACTTTTACGGATTATGCAAAAATTAGTTTTCACTTTTGTACATAATTATATCCAGAATTTTGTTCTGCAGACTATTCATTAAAATCCGGTCTTGAGCAAGATTATTTTTTTGTAGTTTTAACTACACCCCCCCCCCCCCCTAACCCAAGAAATTGAAATTCAAATTGTTGTCCCCTTGTGATTCATATATCCAAGTTACTGATAAGTTATTCTCGTCAAAATATGCATCAAATATTTGCCACTGGATGTTAAGCAAAACAAATCTATAAATCAATTGTCCTAATGCAAATTGCTTACAGTTGTGAATTTTATTTTTACACTACTTTCGAAGTCATTCAATATTTGTATAGTTCTTAATGTCAAATACATACTTGTCCATGGGTTATAATTTCTATACGTCACGTATCCATGTCTTCTTCTTCTATACACCATGCACAGCCCAATAACGACTGCAATAAATAAGATCAAAGCCAAAACAATTCCAATTGTGGCTCCAACGGAGGGACAGCAGTAATTCCTACCATCTGGCACCTTCGGTCCACAACATCCGGTCAAACAAAATCTGTATTCTGAGAGCGGAATGGTTCTAAAGTAATACCGGTAATAGCATGACCCTGCATTGACGAAAGCTATAAATACAAATATAAAAATAAGATGCGTCTACGCCAATATAAGGTATACGCTAATAAGGTATACGCCAATATAAGGTATACGCTAATAAGGTATACGCCAATATAGGGTATACGCTAATAAGGTCTACGCCAATATAAGGTATACGCTAATAAGGTATACGCCAATATAAGGTATACGCTAATAAGGTATACGCTAATAAGGTATACGCTAATAAGGTATACGCCAATATAAGGTATACGCTAATATAAGGTATACGCCAATATAAGGTATACGCTAATAAGGTATACGCCAAAATAAGGTATACGCTAATAAGGTATACGCTAATAATGTATACGCCAATATAAGGTATACGCCAATATAAGGTATAAGCTAATAAGGTATACGCTAATAAGGTATACACCAATACAAGGTATACGCCAATTATAAGGTATACGCTAATAAGCTATACGCCAATATAAGGTATACACTAATAAGGTATACGCTAATAAGGTATACTCTTATAAGGTCTACGCCAATATAAAGTATACGCTAATAAGGTATACACCAATATAAGGTATACGCTAATAAGGTATACACCAATATAAGGTATACGCTAATAAGGTATACGCTAATAAGGTATACGCTAATAAGGTATACACCAATATAAGGTATACGCTAATAAGGTATACACCAAATTAAGGTATACGCTTATAAGGTATACGCCAATATAAGGTATACGCTAATAAGGTATACACCAATATAAGGTATACGCTAATAAGGTATACGCCAATATAAGGTATACGCTAATAAGGTATACGCCAATATAAGGTATACGCTAATATAAGGTATACGCCAATATAAGGTATACGCCAATATAAGGTATACGCTAATAAGGTATTCGCCAATATAAGGTATACGCTAATAAGGTATACGCCAATATAAGGTATACGCTAATGAGGTATACGCCAATATAAGTAATACGCTAATAAGGTATACGCCAATATAAGGTATACGCTGATAAGGTAAACGTCAATATAAGGTATACCCTAATATAAGGTATACGCCAATATAAGGTATACGCTAATAAGGTATTCGCCAATATAAGGTATACGCTAATAAGGTATACGCCAATATAAGGTATAAATAAAGGCAACAGTAGTATACCGCTGTTCGAAACTTATAAATCGATAGAGATAAAAACAAATCCGGGTTACAAACTAAAACTGAGGGAAACGCATTAAATATAAGAGGAGAACAACGACACAACAAAAACACAACATCAAAATGTAACACACACAGAAACGAACTATAATATAACAATGGCCATTTTCCTGACTTGGTACAGGACATTTTAAGAAAAAAATGGTGGGTTGAACCTGGTTTTGTGGCATTCCAAACCTCCCGCTTTAATGGCAACGTCAAACACAACACCAAAACGACAACATCACATGACAGGACCACAATACAAATAAATGGGAGAACATATAGGACAAAGAAACACACGAATAATAGCTAACAAAAGGTACTAGGCTTAAAATTCAATACGCTAATAAGGTATACGCCAATAAGCTTATGTTTTTTTCTCTGACTGTTAATGACGTCTTTACACTAAATCCATTGGGTGTTGGATGTGTACGTACTGTTTGATATTTTAGTCTTAGATTCACGATTTATTTATTAGTTGTATTTGGCATTGAACTAGCTGCCAGTAACTGCGAGTACTCTAAGATCTGTTAGGGATGGATAAATACCTGTCAACGTCCACTCTGTGTTTTTGTTTGATGTTTTTCTGCTTTGTGTCGATCTAGCCCTGATGAGTTAAGCCTTTTTCAACTGATTTTTACAGAGGATGACCTTGAGGTCGTTCCGATGTATTGCTATCGCCTAAATTTCCATTATGCAAATTAGTTTTGGGATTTCAACCGATCTATAAAAATTATAGATCCGCGGTCATTACAAGGGAAAAAAGTGCATTTTTATACCTGCGATTCCGTTCTCCGTTCGTACGATGTTTCATCAAAAAATGGAATCATTTCAGTTGTTGATTTAGTACTGAAAATTTGACTGAATTATCTCCTTATTAAATACGGTTTTATATGTTTAATAGGTGTTTAAGAAAGAGGTCAGGTGCTCATGTTCATTCATAAAATTATCGTTCATTCATGAATTTATCGTAAAATCAAAATCACTACACAGGTCACACAGGTTGTATACGTAGTGTCAAAAGATAACCTGTATAGTATCCAAAAATAGACAAACTTAACTGACTCCCCTTACTGTAGTGTGTGATAACACTTTGTGAGGGAATTCGATGTTTGCTATACCACTGTTCATTTCAACGCACTTTATGACGATACCACTTTATCAATATGAAAGAAATTTTTTGCAGTGTTTTAAGAAATAATTTTACTTTAAAATCGCGTATCATTTGTGAACTATTAAATGTTTTACAAGGACGAATTTTCTGTATAAAGTCAATAATTGTGTGAACTTTTGAAGCCCAAACTTTTTATAGCCTTAAATACGCTAATGAAAGATCCGAAAACTATACCCATACAGAACGACATGTTTTTGAAATTGTAGCAAAACTTTTGTTGACAAATTTTAATTCGTTATTGCATAAATATTAACTTGAAATATCTGTCATTTTCTCCCTACCCAGTTTACCTCTATTACTCATTATGATGTGGACTTGACATTGTTATTGAATCTTATGCAATTTGATTGGATTAAGTTATTATTAGATTACCTTCAAACTGTTCATGCTTTTTCGTACGAGTATATTGATTAAATCAGAGCGTGCATGAATGTGTACAGAAAATTAAATGACCTGCAAACTGGACACTGGACCAGTCCATATTACGTTTTATCAATGAATAGATTTTTTTTTTATTTCCCAAATTACAGGGCCCATAAAGGGCATAAAATAAGATACAATTGATTTACATAATTGGTAACAACAAAAATAATAGCGGCATATAAATAGATATTTAGTATATAAGCATTGGTCAGAATCAGATGAACGAAACTTAAGGTATGAAAGGTAACAATTGCCACTTTTTATCTTTTCACATAGTTTTCCACATACACATTAGATAAATTATTTTTGATAGCCTATTGCGGAGAAAAAAGAGAAAGTTTACTGTATTAACGTTCTATTCCATTAAATACGCCATTTTTCGAAGATAAATGCGGAAAAACATTTATGAACGGCTACGCCAGGTAAAATTGTTGTTTATCCTAAAAAAAAATACAATTTTCAGTTTCATTAGAATATTATAATAATAATAAATCCCAAATTTATGTAGTCATTAGATAAAGTCCTTATATGTCCGATCTGCCTATTTTTGGACATCAAAAGACAATACGATCGTTTTAAGGTCAATTTCGTCTACCTCACACAATCTTGTTAGGCACTATAATGAAATAGACCTGAAATTTATTTCACATGTTTCCTGAAAATTGATAAATATCAAAGCAACATAGAGCTGTTTGTTCTAGTTCGTATAATGACAATTTAATGTCATGTTTGTTTGTGATGACCCCCCTTTTCGGGATTGCATTATAGTTATCTCGTATCGCATGAGGATGACACATGTCAACTGAGCAATTATGTTTGGGACTTAGTTTTAAGAAATGATGTCAAAGTAACATTATGAAAATATTTTTAGTAAGCTGAAATATATATTTATTTTTTACATGTTTATGTGTTGTAAGATATTTTATTTCTGTCCCGTTTTTCAACATTTGCGTCTGGAAAGTTGAAATGTTTTAACTGAATGGTTAATTTAAATTAATTATGAAAATGGTTAAAATTAAATCAATAAAGGAAATTATTGCCCAGTTACAAACACTACCAGGGGATAATCCATAATGATTTTTTTTCAGTTATATGTTTCAGCACATGTATAATTAACCCCAACTTTAGCCTGGTAAACTTGTTGTCTCCTTGTAAAATATAAAACATATTTAAAATGATTTCCTGCTAAAGTCTTATATTGATATAAAGTTAAAACCGTCTTGCTTCTCACTAGTTAACACTCCTGTCCTGTCAGGTTTAATTCTTATATATATGGATGAAAAATAAAAGTCCACAAAACATTAACATGGCAGCAATTGCTTTTACAGCCTTTAAGACTTTGATTTTTTTTTACAGAAGAGTGTCCACCATGCACTTGCATTACACTATAATAATAGTAGAATAGTATAATATACAAATAGATGAAAATTATATATACATGCAACCGTAATATTAATATAATATATAACAACAAACCAGTGTATTCTCTGGAACTATTATTATATTAGTATAATAGTCTAAGGTATACTGATTTGTATCACTACAATATAATAGTTATTACGGTGAGGTTGAATTTCCTGTCATTTATTCATCATCCAAGCACGAACTTGTATAAGAAAAAAAAAACTCTGTAAATTAACCTCAGTTTCAGGTATAGAGATGTGATCTGTTTCTGTGACATGTGCTTTTGACCATCCACAATTAAGAACCTGCGGTCATCCGATGTTCAGTACTTCAGTACTTTGATTATAGTTTGTTCTTATGTTGTGCTGTTACACCACTGTCCCAGGTTAGGGGAGGGTTGAGCGCTCACAAACATATTTAACTTAACGAGCAGTTTTGATTATTTCGCTTTTTGAAAGTTTAATTTTTTTGGTTTTTGATTAAGAAATTAAAAATTAAAAACGGGCGAAAAGAGAACATATATGTGTTATATTAAAATTTTATGTATCATTGTCGCGTTTGGAGTACCTGTAAAGTGCGAAACGGAATAAAACGGAACGAAATAAAGCGAAATTTGCCAAAACGAAATGAAACGAAATAAAATGAACATTAAATTTTACTTAAGCAGAGAAAAATTGATTAACAAAATAAATATTTCTCAAAAGCGGAGAATTAATTTTAAGATAAGAAACACTTTGATTGTTATCATTCTTGAGTAGGAATAAAAATAAAGAAGCGAATTTAATCATTTTTAATTGCAAAAGGATTTATAAG